TTTCCCTGCAGTACTGGTCTCCTGACATCTTTAACTTTGCTATAACTGAAGAGATGCAAGTGGCTTGCAGATTTATTAGAAATTTTTATAAAACTCCTTCCTAGAGCTTGCAAATGCTAAGTTCTGCATTATTCTTGGAGACAGAATTAGGTTGGATACTGTAGTGTCATCAAACCATAAAAGATGAGCTGAGGTTTTATTTTTTCCTCAAAGTGTGAATAGCCACCACGGAGCCAGGAGCTCCTGTGGCATAGAGGAAATTCAGACTGGATAACGGGATGTTTCCAGAAAATAAACAGTTGACACCTCACAGTGCTTTTGGGGTTATAAAGGGTGAAAGAGCACAGAATGGGCTCTCAGGGACCAGGAGGCTTCCTGATTGCATCAATGTTTCTCAGTACCAAATCTTTGCTATAGTGATCCTCTTCAAAACCACTGATAGAAAGGATGTCATTGCTGAAATCTGAGTTCTTTCCATCTCTGCCTGGGCCTCGACATGTACTGTACAAAAATCTGGCTAAACTTCAAGATGGCTTTCCCCCTTGGCAAGATAGCAGAGGAGGAGTGGGAGAGGATATGCCAATACCATGTCGTCGCAGCAGGACTTTTGTGCTGAAGAATGCTGCTTTCCTCTTCAAAAGTCTCTAGAGGCTAAACAGCTGGAAACTTTAACCTAGATGGGTTTAGGGGGTTTACGATTAATGTCATGTGTTGCAAGCAATGGACTGACCTAGAGAGAAAACAGTTTATAGCAAAGCTGCTTATTTTTTCCTCTCCAGCGCTGGAATCCTCTTCCTGTCTGTTTTTGCATCTTGGGCAGAGTATCTGTTGCAATCCTCAATGTGCTGGTAACGCAGTTGTTGTTTCTACCAACACAACACACTGAGCAATGTCTTGCAATTGCTGCTTGCAACTTGGTCCTCCCCCTTCCCACATGCTGTCTGGTTTGTTTGGTTTTTTTACGCTGTTTTGCACTATTTCACATTCACTGGACCTGAAAGTCTCTCCCAATCTGTATATATGAACAGCTGTTTTGATGTGTGGATTTAGTGTTTCCACTGAGCCAAATATAGGCTTTATGTTGATAGCTGATCACTGCTACACCTAATGTTTAAATAACTGAGAGAAAGGATGTCAGGGTATTTTAAGAGATCAACCCTTCCCCCTCGGCCCTTTGTAACAGACAGATACAGCCTCTCACTGTTTCTATCTATTGCTTCATTAAGGGCTCCATTCATTTTATAAACAACACAGCTGCTGACCAGTGTTGGCGGGAAAAAAAAAAAAGGAAAAAAAAAAAAAAGGCTTCTGATTGCAACTGCCAAACAGTTCAATGTCTGTTCCCTGCAACTCAGCGTGGGGATCGTTTGCTCACCCAGCACCTCCTGGGGGCCGGAGGAGAGTTGTTATTTGGATGTAATTAAAGAGGCAGCCTCCTACCCCCTGCACCCTTCATATTTTTGGCACTGGTTGGCGCTGGGTTATTCATCAGACAGGGCATGCAGACATCTCTAGGCATCTCCAGAAGAGCCCAAGGGTTGGGAAAGGGTCTAGGAGGCAGCTCTTCGTTCTCAAGCAGCACCACCACAGTGAGCTGTGACCTGCAGCAGAGCTGGAAAAAATATCCTTGGGTGACCCGCCACTCTCTGCGATTGCTTATGGCTGAAGTGGATTATGGTATTCAGGTCAAGGTCAGTGCGCGAAGGGGGCTGGGGGAGGGAAGGGCTGTTTACTAGGCGGTTGCATTCGGGGAGGGCTAGGGCAGCTCCAGGCAAAACCTATATAAGTCAACAGAATTCGGAAAAGAGCAAGATCCATCACCAGCCTGGACTTTGCAGCCCTTGGCTCTGTGCGTATGTGCGTGTGTGTGCACGTAATTGTGTGTGCGCACAGGTCCTCACAAGGCTCAGCACCCTGCATGCAGCAAGATGGGCAAGGAAGATGAGGTTGATGGGCTGTGGTTTCATCCCACGTGGTGGACCTGGCATCGGCATGAGGCATGGCCAACCTTGTAGGGCTTGGCGGGCCTGCCTCAGCAAAGGTGCCACCCAACCCCTGACACACTGGTGAGACGCATGCGATCAGACCCCCTTGCCTTACCTCAGGCCTACACTTGCATCTCTCCAGTTGGAAATTTGTCATTTATTGACTGATTGCAATGTGTTTTCACTTATTTTTAATGATAACCAGAACCAAAAAAAAAAAATAATCTTAGTTCTTTACCACCAGGTGCCAGTGTTAAACTTTGATCATGTGGTGATTCCCTCCCTGCCGCTCATGCAGGCTAGGGGCAGGGGAGACCTTACAGCAGTAGAACCTAGCACAGGGTCAGCACTTCATATGG